AGGATGTATTTACCTTACATATAAAAGACATTGCTGATACTGAAGAATAAGAACAGATTCATAAAGCGGTAATTAAGTTCAAATTCTGTTTATAATCAAGGACTATTGAATGGCTCCACACAGCATGGCTAGGGAAGGAAAACACCAAGCATTGCTCACCTGCTAACCCAGGCCTGTACCCAGGCTCAGTCTTGACAAATGCCAGCTTCCAAGTGCTCCGCTCAGAACTGTGAGAGCCCCAAATGCTGGAAGAGCTCTTCTGAATTTGTTTTATGCTACTAAGTTAACTGCATTGATTAGATGCATTATGACCAGCATAATGAATTAGGAAGAGATAAGGTTCTCAGAGATTTCTATCCTATGTGAACCCCATGGCTTGCCATGCCTACATACCAACACATGTTTAGCACTGAATGGCACAGCTGGCTACCTTGTGAAGATTTTTAAAGCAAGACACACTGACTTGTTCAAGAAGCGTTTATAGATCAGGATGGGGAAAAAAACCCAATATAAGGTGTAGAATTCAAAGCGCAGCAAAGAAAGAAACGCCTCTTTCTCCTCCTTCCAGTCAGTGGTCTCAGAACTTTCTCAGTGGCACTGTAAGTAAACATAAATTGATTTTCCTTACTGCAGATTACAGAACCTTCCACCTAAACGGATAACCCAGCTGCAGCTGTACCACTGTTGAATTAGTAGTGGTAGTAGTGTAGAAAGTGGTAGTAGAAAAGGAGAAAGAAACCCCAACTAAGATATCCACACAATACGTGGAAAGTAGAGGTGTCCCAGTATTTCCCCTGAAAGGTGGTGTTAGCAACAAACCTCATCTTATTTCACGTAAACTTTCTGCCACTGAGTCAAACTTTACGAATCTACATATCAGCTGTATGGTGCTGACATACCTCAAGGCAGAAAGTTATGCCTTGCTAATCTAATCCTCAGAAGCATGAAAGCACTCTCCTTCCCACATGTGAGAAGCGCATTTCTCTACTGAAGCTTAGGAAAGAGGACACTTCTTAATGACATGCCTGTAGGACAGCTGCAGTAAGGCTAAACATAATACTAAAAAACCCCCATACATTACACCACCAGCTGAATAATCCTTTTACCATTAAGCCTGGCCACTCAAAGTGCTCAGAGGTAATGAGGCCCTACTGGCAGGTAAAGAGAGATTAACATGTGTGTAGAGGACAGTATCTTGCCATTGTTGCCACAGCCATTGGCAGAGAAGGGCAAAAAGATTCCCACCTTCTCCTGCTGTTCCATTTGAACATTTTCTTAACCCAATGCTAGAAATGTGATTTATTCCAACAGTCTACTTTTTACTTAAAATCACCCTTTTCTGCTATGATCTAAATTGTGGTCTCTGACCTCTGCTGGTTGAAGCATATTAAGAGTAAGTAAAAAATGCTGTTGTGAGCAAGTGAGAGCCCTCCCAGCTTGCTCCAGAACAGATATGTTTAAAAAGTTTTGCCAAAAAATCCCTATAATCAAGAGTTGGAGCTTTTTAGGTTCAAATATCTGTTATATTTGTTATTGCTATCGCAAAATTTTGTTATTTTTGATACTGAATAATTTTTAAAACCAAAGAGCGATAAAAAAACAAACAAACAAAGAAAAAGATCAAAAAGATGATGCTTTTTCTGAAACATTTCAGGCTAACATGGTAAAAGTTGTAGACAGCTTCCCGACTTTTAAAACCATCCATTTCTAATATTGGCTAATGTAAATCTGGAAAGTTGCCTTGTCTGGAGTAAAATTATATACATATTGAAAAAGGATTAAATTTTTTTGTTACAATGTATAAACTTTTAATATTTCAACCTTCTGATGTCTAGAACGGAAGCAGAGAGTTGGAGAATGAGAAGAACAGAGGCTGGTACAGCTCACAGCACTCTTCTTGCAATACACAAGGTAACACAGGGCATTACACTGTTATTTTATAGTGTGGCCCCTCCTTGTGACAGGTTAAGACATGAGGAAATATCACAAGTTCGCACCACAGTGGGCACTCAGTTCTTGTCTGTGCTATTCATAGCTGAGTGTTCAGGTTTACAAGGCTAGACTAGTTTTTCCTGTCTCCAAATAAAACAGCTAGATGGATCCAGTTGGATTTTCCAAAGCGCAAGATAAACGTCTTTCCCCAAGACACTACAAGTATCAGTCACTCTGGCTGTGGCCACCTGCTTCAGATTCATCTGCAGAGGACTGGCTTTTGGATATACATCACCAGGGCTGAGTTTCTGACTTCTCTTTATTGGTGAGTTTTATCACACCCTGAAGGGGACATCATGATAACAAAGCCAGAGCAGGACAGCTCTGCACCAGAGGTGCCTGAGCAACAGGGGTACAGACACACACCATGAGAAGGCACTCAGTATCACCAAGATAATGGAACTACACCCAATCTTAACAAGATTATTTTTTGCCTGCTATTTTTAATGGTAGTATTTGCTCAATTAATTTCAATCTGTTACCTCTGCTTCAAGTTTCACCTGTTTTGCTTTACAATTTTTGTAATAATTGCAAAAAAACCCCAAACAACCTGGCTTCATTTTTGCAAGCAACTGGCTTTCTGCTTTTTCTTGAGCACACATAAATGTTTGAGACAAAAGTTGCTAGATAAAGAGGTGTGCATACAAACACACACTCATTTATATGCACACGAAGAAACCAAAAATATAAAACAATACGTATTTCAGACTAACAAGATGATATCCAACTAAATATTAGAAAAAGATGTTCTGACCATTTATGATTCAGAAGCATCCAAAACTAACGCAGACTCCAGACAGAGATCACATTCAGTGAAGGAGCTCCACCAATTGCATCATACAACACCATGGCTGCGATAATGAATACGGATAGCAATTACAGAGGCAACATCTGCGTTTCTTGAAGATCAAAACAGACTAGGAATGCATCAGTGGCTTCTGGGAATAACCTAAATAATTACTTGAAAACACATTTGCTCAAAGGAGCATGAAAACTATGGTGGTTCTTCACAGCAAGTTTTAAATTTTCTGCTCTACATACATTATTAGTCAGACTTCCTACTGGTGAGTCTCTGCAGGTATTCAGCTGCCCTGTGACTACAGAAGCAGGGCTCCAGAAATAGTCTTTACTGCTTTAGTCATATGATACTGGCACAAATTGCACAGGATACTTAAGCTTCTTAAGAATAATATTCAGAGGGAGCATCACACTGGAAAGAAAATAGGTTGTGAAAGAGGAAACTGTTCAGAGAGTTGTTTAATTTGAGTGTTTTGTTTGAAGCACTGCTTGTGTACCCTGGAGGCAGAGTCCTTCTAAACGCTGATACAAAAGAGTACTTGACAGTGACACAGTGGACATACTTGGCACAAAACACAGTATGCTTCAGTCCTGTTCTAACTCTATCCAACCCAAGGCTGAGCTAATACCAAAAGGTGGAACATTTCAAAGGTGGAACTTCAGAATTCACAATGAAGGTGCTTTTAAAATGAACACACAAATTACATTGATGTGGAGGTGATGCCTTTTTCCTGGCTTTGTATATTTGATAAACAGATACTATCATGCTACAGGATCACACATTCAGGTTGGAAGTATGGGACACCAGCTAACCACCCTGTACTCACGCCAAGTAACAAAGAACAAGTATTTCAAATGTACACAAAAATAGGTTATTTTACATACAGAAAAGCATTACTAAAACCTAAAAGGCACAAAGCCATAATAAGAAGCAATTGCAAATATTACAATGACATATTTTTCCATAAGGATAGTATCAAAACAGAGAAAAGTCAGAGCTAAACAAGATCTAGTGGCTCCCAACCCTGATGAAAGGTAACAAAGAATAACATGAAAGGTAATGGAATGGGTCAAAACTCACCCCTGCAGAGGTAGATGAAACATGAAATCATCATCAAGCGACAGCAATTTTTAGGGCAATAATACTATTACCTTGGGGTCCACCTTACTAAGAGAAGTTACAGAACTTCTCTATTACTTTCTTAGGCACTCCTCTCCTCAGAATGATAAAAAATGAGAAAACAATTGAGCATACAAGAAAGAATAAAGTGAAGAACTGAAAAAAACTACCCGCTCAAAACAAAACAAAACCTCATAAAATCAATCAGCATATTTTTAGACTGTGATATTCACTGTAGTTTTCTGTTTCGTCTGACATGGTTCCATATTTCACTTAACTGTAGCTGGTAGTTAACTGTCTATTTTAAAGCAATAACCCAGGTGGCCTGTAAAAGTAGTGCAAATGGCAACTTCCAAAACCTTGTACACTTGGCCTTTAGAAGTAGGCTAAATGGAAAAAATCATGCCAGCAGTAGTGGGGAAACAGACCGCTTGCCAGATTCTTTGTAACCTTATCTCCTACCTCACAATGTATACAGTGAGCTTTTTACTGTCTAGAAGGAAGGAGTAATCAGTGACTTCTCACACAGAAATAACAAGTTTTGGGGAGATTAAATATGGCACACCTACCCTCCAGATTTGCCACTTATAAAAATTAGAACTTTGTAGTTGGCTTCAAAATGAAATTAAAAGAAATACAATGCAAGCACATCACAAGCAGACTGCTTTCAGCTCAGCTGGAATAAATCAAGGCAGTCCCTGCTGCAGTGGACACACACATAATGGCTTGAAGCTTTGGCAGCTAAGGATCCAGTTTATGAAAATACAGCTCATTTAAAAAATAAGTTACCAAAGTACTAATCTAACAATTACATGAACAGCACCTACCTATGACAACTGACATCTCCAGTTAAACTGTGTCACCACTTGTCAAAAGTACTGCAAACACATAATGCACCCCTCTCCCCTGCCAGCTACCCCATGGGTGGAGGGAAGGATGCAAGGGAGACACTGAGACTTGAAGCAAAAGGAAACAGAGATGGAAGGTAAAAAAGATAGGCACACAAGCAAAGTAACATAATCCATGGGATCAAATATAGGCCACTGGAAAAAATTATGCTCAGAAATCCCTAATAATTGGAGGAGACCACCACTGTCCTAGAGAACTGGGCCAGGTACTGTGCTGGCATGAAATCTGAGCAGTCCCTATCCAAAGAAACAAAGCCCATAGAACTCAGAATATTAAGTTTCTCATAAATATCAACTGAATGCTCTGAATAGCAAACCTAGCCAATGTTGTACACTCATTCAGAAAAATTACATGGCCTTGTTTTGATTTCTTGAAAAGAGTATGAAAAAGTTACTTTCTTAATTCATTTGGTTATTTCAAAATAGAGGCCTGAGGAAAAAAATGCTTAGAAGTTATTTCCCCATTCTTCTCATAGCTTCCATTTTTAAAGGGCATCAAATTCTCATTCCATATGAAAAAAGGAACAATAATACTGGAGGCGGGGGTGTGTCAGAGCTGAGCTCTATTCTTCCCCTTTGATAGCCTCCCGTATACATCTGTGGAGACCTCTGAGTAAAGCATAGTAAAGAATGCTACTCATAATCCCTCTGACTTATTTTTAAAACAGAAACAGGTATGATTGTGGCACTCTTCGTATTTGACAAGTGACTTTGACACACAGTAAGAAACTCCGTTCACTGTTTGCAATATATTTCCACAGAAAGGATTCCCAAGGTCTGTCTCACTGCTTCAAGTATGTAGCAAGCTACAAACCACTTAACTGACCAGTTGGCCACAGCACAATCTAAAAAACCCCAGACACAGACCATGATTAGAAGCAAAGACCCAGGCACAGATACATTCAGTCCTTCTCTCCATTCTTTTACCTACCTTATACAAGCAATGCTGGTCTAACGCACAGCCTTGGATGTTGAGGGCTGTGGACACCTGCATAATTTTCTACACTTACCTAAACTTTTGAAAATATCTCCAACAAATGAATACATTATTCCTTATCTATTTTATTGTTCCTTATTCCTTCTAGTAGCAGATACATATACATATATGATAAGATAGTTTTAAATAGAATATGGTGTCAAGTATGCTGTACCAGAAGGCTGGAATACAGCAATCTGTGCTATTAAAAAACAAACAAAGGTGGGTGAAGAGAAAGAATAAGAAGTAGTAAGGAATTAATGACAGAACAAGTGGAAAAATCTTCAAACTATTTGTTAGCACCTGGAAGAAAACAAGGAGTTGAGTAACAGCTTACACAGACTTGTCAGAAACAATTAGTGTCCAAACAACCTGAAGTGCCTTCAGGGCTGGATAACAAGCTTTGCAAACAGGGGAGAAATCACAGATGACATTTATCTTGACTTCAGTAAGTTTGGACACACCCCTTAGCAAATGAGCAAGAGATGTGGTCTAGACAAAAAAATATGGTGGATAGGCTGCAAGTCTGGAAAACTGACCTGAGTGGCAGTGGTTCCTAGTTAACACAGAACCATCTACCCAACTGAGTGCTGCAGAGGAATAAGATTACTACAGAACTATAAAACACAGGCTAACGAGTAAATTTGGGTTGCTCAGCCAAAAGAGGCTACTGAAAATGTTACACAAAACCAGCCTTTAAGCATGCAAACAGCTGCCACAAAAAGCAGAGGAGTGATCCATTTTCCCTGTCGGATAAATCATGAGTAGTTCTGAGCTGCAGCAAGGAAGGTTTGTGCTATATGTCACAAAAACCTTAAGACATCAAGGATAATGAAGCACTGGAATAGGTTGCATGGGGATGCTTTGGTGGTGACTGGAAGCCTTTAAGAAAAGGTTACATAAATACCTATCTGCAATATCATGCATACAATCTACACTCTCTTCTAAAGCAGGACCAACAGAGCAGCCTCTTGAAGTCCTTCCAGCTCCATGTTTCTTCTGCGATAACTGGCTGTTGGTGAACAGCTCACATTCCTGAATAATCTTTATGAATGCATCCATTGATACCCATACGAGTCAGATATATTTATACAAAGTCATTCCAGAACTTATGTCATTAGGTCAGGTCACAGAGGATGCAGATCAATACCTGAAATCTACTAACATCAACAGACCTGCCGTCCAGCCAGCCAGATCCATGCCCAGTATGCAATGAGGTAGTAACAGCTGAGAGCATGGAGCTGAAGATGTCACACACAGAAAGCTCCCACTGCAGCGAGAGTGAGCAACAGGCTTCTAAAACCCTTCCTGTGGGAATAATTTCTATATATTGCTAATTACAGAGACACAAACAGATTAAATAAAAAATGTAACAATGTTGCTTCAAAACCTTCTATTTCCTGGGTAATGCACTTGAAGTGTCCTGCAACTATCCTGCAACTAGCTAATAAGAAGTAACAGCTCTTTAAGTTAAATAGGTAAGCCTTGAGTTAAAGGAATTTCTACCATTATATTTGAAATGTATAATAATGCAAGTATTAAAAATAAATTCTCTATGGCATTAAGATCAAGTTCGTCCTTAAAAGAACACAGTAAATAATTATAAGTTACACTCCATCCCCCGGTCTTCAATTCCCCAAACTAGGATGCTATGCTGTACAGTGCTTTCCTCCACTGGTGAATCATTATCCTGCGATTGCTTGAAAAGCTATAGCCAGTGTGAAGAGTGATGGCAAAGTTTTAGTAAAATTCTATGATATGCTTTTTTTCCTTTGTCTTTGGCATTATTTCATGCTAAACTTTGAACTTGCTGCTTTCACTGATGTGTTTAAAGTGCAACAGTCCAATAGCTGAAGCCAAAAGTTTGACCTCCATTATAACTGTTCTAATCTTCTGGGAAAATATCCTCTTGACTCTAATTTCTCTTTCCAGACTCACCATGCTGCTGCTGAGAAATAACAGTTATTGGGGCTGTAAGGCCAAGATCTGGCCCTCCAAAAAAAAACCAACCCAAAAACCAAACCAAAACAAAAAATCACCAGTAGCACTGAATGACACATGAAGTTTTTCATTTTTCATGTACGATCATGTCCTAGATAAGCACACTGGACTAGCACAGCCATGAGACCATGAACACTATCACACGAAGAAATATTTAAGCTGACATGAAAGTTTTTCGCTCCGAGTACTCAGGCCTTTTGCAGCATAACTGATTATATCACTTGTCAGTTTAGATGGAGAGCTCCAAAGTAAGGCTGGGAAAAGTACTGCGAGATCAACAGTGCCTCATGCAACTCATCTCTCATCTCTCACTGGGGCTTGATCAACTACTGTAATACAAGTATTACGGCATTCTTCACTTTGCCTCAGTTGGATAGTGTTGTTAGATGGGTGCAGCATGTTTCTATCAAGAAATATTTGGCTATGCTTCTACTGGAGTGAAATGATCCCTGTAAATACATGGACAAATTGTGGTTGGCCCTTGGCTCCACACATCAGAAAACCTCTCTGTCAGCAGCTGCAATATGGGGTGAAAGTTGGCTGATGCACTAGTGGGACCAGAATGGGAGCAAATAAAAGGATCTCTGTTACAGGAGCTGTGGAGAATCCTGACTCACTAAACATGGGCAGTTACAATCTCCCCAGCTGGACTGTTCCTATCCCTGGATTCTTTACTTAGCACCTCTCAGTAAATGAAGGGGAAAAAAAAAAAAAAAAGGAAAAGAATATCCAGAGTGAACTTTTCTCTTTTTTCGGTTTTTCCAACATAGAGGAACAAGAGTGCTTTCATGTATTTTTTCCTTTGGTGACATCGATAAAAGTTTAAAGTTCCTTGTCAAAAGTGATGAAAAAAACTATGAACAGCACAGAACAGCTGCCAATGCCTTTGAACTAAGAGTGCTCCTGGCTACCTGCTCAGCTGTCAGTATCCAAGAACAGTACCACTGTGTCATAACTCTAAAAGTAAGATGTGTATTTTGGTAGTTACTTGAGGTTAAAAAAGTGACTAAGGCAGAAGGATACCAAGCTTTCCAGCTTCCAGTCAGGAACATGAACTCCTACCAGAAAGACTGATGGAGCAAATTAAATTTGCGCAGCACACGTGAGGTACTTGTTCTTGGCTGTATTGGCCACTTTTGGCCGAGTCAGACACCAGCAATTATTGCATCCAACCTGGGGAACATTAATGACAACAATTCAAAATAGAAGTTTGTAAAGCTCCTCTCACCCCCTACTCGGACTTTCACAGAAGCAGATAAAGCAAATCCTCTTCCATATATAGAAAAAACTGTTTCTTCCACCTTGGAAAACTGCTCGGGAGGATGAGACAAGTTTCATCGTGACACTGAGGCTTCATACTGGTGACACAAGTATAGCCTTCAGCTTCTCAGGTGAGTTACATTTTGTCATCACTGGTTCTGTCAGCTGGGACTTCAGGTCAAGCCACAAATCCCCTCTTCATGTGCTGACCTCACCCAAGCTTCACGGTAAAAGCCAAACCAGTACAAATACAGATAAATATATCACTTATGAAGGTGGCATGAGACTCTTCGGCATCTCCAGATATATCTGAAATGCCTTCAGAAGAAAGGAAGAATGACAGATTAAGACTTGTCAGACTTGGGGGAAACAACAGCCTTCTCCACGGGATTAATTTTCACACTGGCACCTCTTCTGAGGCATGCCTGTGATGAAATTATGAAAGAGGACAGATGCTTCTAAATTTCTTCTTGGAGGCTTAAAAAAGGATTCTTCTCACTTGTGTACTTCTGATAAAGGGCCAAACAATGGAGATCAAGGAGCTAAGTTTAATTAGGTTTTACCAGGAAACCTGCAAAATTTCATTTCAAAGAATACTCCAAGAAGTAAAGCATTTGCAGTGCTGCTGTCAGCAACTTGTCTGCAGGTCCCCAAAGCCAGAATGTAAGGATGAATTTCCTCATGCCCAACACTTCACTTGAGCAACAGGGCTCAGGTACTCTGCAACTCTCAGGACTCCAAAACCAAACTTACAAATCCAAACATACTCAGCAATTTGAAAAAGAAAAAAAAAATAAGAAAAAAAAAATACAGAACATTATGGCATGCATCCAACCCTAAAAAATGCTAAATATAATTAAACACGATAAACTACAGACCTAGATCCCATTCTTAACAGAAGTCCTTAAGAATCACATGTGGATGATTATACAAAAAGGGTGTGACAGTGATGGTGGCCAG